TATATATAAAGACAAAAAACTATTCTTCAGCAACACACTTCGTCTTCAGACATTCTCAAGAACAGACAGGATATCTACTCAAATATGGCTTGAAAATAATGTTTTAAGTCATAAAATCAATCGGAGAAATAAATTAAAAAAACATTTACTTTTTAAAATTATATATATATATATATATATATATATATATATATAAAGACAAAAAACTATTCTTCAGCAACACGCTTCGTCTTCAGATAGACATTCTCAAGGCAAGTGTAAATATTTTATTTTGCAACATGTATTTAAAAGCATTAGAATAGTTTTGCCTTTGGCTTTTATTCATATTTTTTTTTTACAGACATTTTTTATTTATATCTGAATACAAACACTTATATATATGAGTATGTGCGTGTGCGTGTATATGTGTGTTTGTGTGTGTGTGTGCCGATGGATGGATTAGGAATTGGTAATTGTTAGTTTAACGCCTCAGTGCCTCTGAAAATGCCACTGAGGCGTAAAATGCAGTGTTGATTAGGTTCACAATTTCTTATTCTTTTTCTCCTTTTTCTCTCTATATAAACAAGGCAAAAACACAGACACATATATATATGTACGGACAGTGGAATACAGACACACACACACACACACACACACACACACATACATATATATATATATATATATATATATATATATATATATATATATATATATATATATATACTACCAGTCAAACGTATTTCGCGACTCTGGAAAATGTTCATTTCTCATTCTAAAATTGTTATTTACAATGAATTTTTTTTATCTATTATATCAAATACAAGTCTTCCCTTGCCACATTAAAAAATAAAAAAAAAAAAAACAACTTTTGATTCATCAAAATGACCCCCTTCGGTCGCTATCAATGCTTCACAGATTGTCGGCATTCTTCCCGCCAAAGACTGGAGATAGAATAAAGATAGTTCTACCCAGCTTTCCTGTTGTCAGAGTTGAACTGCACTTTTGGGATGTTCATCCCACATCAGCTGAATGGGATTTAAGTCCAATGATTGCGCCGGCCAAGACATCAGTTGAAGGACGTGCAGTTCCTCCTTACTTTTAATGTACATCTGGCAGAGGGTCATTATCTTGCATGAGTGCAAATCCTTGAACTACAAGCCGCGTTCCAGATGGGATCACGTGATGCTGCAGTATGCTGTGAAAGACGGTTTGATTCAAATTGTCCTTCACCTGGTGAAAAAATAACCCTAACACCAGCATGACAGAGCCTCCTTCGTGCTTTACGGTTGGTGTGATACATGGGGTTGCAGCTCTTTCACCAAATTTTCGCCGAACATAGATCCTCGTATTTCGAATTTTGATTCGTCAGTCCAAAGGGCTTTATTCCACTGCACTGTTGTTCAGTCTTTGTGCGCCTTTTGACTTCTCAACATCAGTTTCATGACAGCAATTCTGCTATAGAGTCCAAATTCACCGAGTTTTCTCCTCACAGTGGATGCTGACACATTTTTACACGACATTGGTTCAGATACGCAGTGATGTTTGGAGCAGTCAGCCTTTTGTCGAGCAAGCAGTGTCTGATGAAAATTACTGCTTTTGTTGTTGTTTTTGGTCTAGCAACCCTACTTTTTTCCTTCTATCCACTGTAGTTCTGGAAATTTTATTTTTTATTTTTTAATATACTTTTTTAAGTAATGATCTCTAGTCTTTATTCAAGTGTTTTGGGCATTTTGTTTAGAAAAACCGGAAGATCCGGAAGAAAGTTGCAAAATTTAGGTTCTAATTTAAACAAAATAAGAATAACAGATTTCACCACATGGCAAGGTACATTGGCAGAATAGGTAAAACAGGTAGTATCTAGCAAGCAGTAATTCAGTACAATAGATTTTAATGTGAGTTAAAGTGGCGATATAATGTAACATTTGGAAAACGTTTTATTCATGCTCAAAAATAAAAAAGAAAAACGCTTCTAAATCAATTTTTCAAGAGATATATGGTTATAAGGTCATAGTTACTGAGGAAAACTTGTATTTAATATAATCAAGAAAACCATTGTGGTGCTTAAATTGTTTCATTAAAAAATAACACTTTCACGATGAGAAATAAAATTTCTTGGGAGTGGTCAAATACTTTTGACTGGTTGTGTATATCTATATATATATATATCACTCCATTTATAAAAGAATTAATTTTCAGATAACACGGCAATTTGTTTCCAACAATAATGGATACTATAATATTCATTTTATTATAAACAATACCTCGATGATGACATGGATATGTCGAAAGA